ATAAGACGGGGCAGGCAAAGAACTTTCGCTAGCTTTTTTTTTTAAAGTAAGCTTAATTGGTAAGTTTCGAAAAATCATGAGAATACAAAGTACTTTAAACTGTATAAAAAATCAAAAAAAATTTTTATTAAATTGGCTAAGCCACAATGTAGATCATCCAAATTCGGGTTTGTCCACCATGCTACACATATAGATGGCGGTGAAATTACTTTTCTTAATAAAAAATTTTGTAGAAATTGTTGAAATTATTTGATATTAAAATTGGTGAAATTGGTGAAATTAATTTTTTAATATCAAAAATTAATTTAAATTATATAAAAAATTAACTAAAACTAAACTAAATCAAATGCAATAGTTGTTTTATAATTAATTTATAAAAATGTTAAAAATTTGTTAAAATTATTGTTGAAATTAAAAAAAATAAAAATGAATTTCACTGCCATCTATATATACACAAATTTATTGTCATCTTAGGGAATATGCTCAAAATTCTTTTATGTATAAACTAGAGGTGCTAAAAAATATAATTCTGTATGCGAACTCGGTTATGCTTATGCAACATACCTTGTGTTCTAAAGGTGCTACTGGCATAAAAGTGAAATTTGTGGTTATTTTTCAAATGTTTTTCAGGGGTATAATTTAAACTTAACAAATTCATACCTTGAAAAATAGATCCAGGTTTCAAAGAATTAAATTAAGATTCTTTAAATAACATATATACTATATATATATATAAATATATAAAATATATAACACTTGGAAAAGATACAAAGTTCCATTTATCTTAGTAAAATATAGCAATGTATCTTGCACGTACAGTGAATGAAATTTTTTCTGGTAACAATTTGTAATACATGTAGGTAATGGTCATTTTATTTGATTGTAATTTACATCTATTTTTTTTTTTTCAATTAAAAGAAACGGATCAAAGTTTTAGTAGTTTTAAATTTTTTAGGAAGTCGCGAACTTGTCGAAACACACACTTTCGCATTTAAGACACGCCTACAAACTACTATAATACTTTCTTCGCTATTTTTGATGAGCCATGGCCTTTCAGTATGATCAGTACCAACAACAATCACAGTATGGAAGTGGGCTGGATAATAAAACGACACTATGGTAATTAATGGTCAATGTCTTTATTCACTTTATGAATAACCAAAGTAATGTTCGTATATTTTTTAGGATGGGCGAGCTTGAACCTTGGATGGACGAAAGTTATATACGTCAAATTTGGTATCAACTAGGCGAAAATGTTAATGTTAAATTTATTCGGGACAAATTCACTGGGTGATTAATATTTAATAAAACTTTATGGCTACATTTGTATGAAAATTTTATTATTAACAATTTTTTATTAACAGTGCAAATGCCGGTTACTGCTTCGTAGATTTTGTGAGTAATGCTGCCGCGGTTAAAGCTTTGAGTACCGTGAATGGAACTCTTATCCCTGGTACCAATCGGGTATTTAAGCTTAATTGGGCATCAGGAGGCGGGTTAACAGATAGAAAGTATGCATCAAGTTTGTATCGAGCGAATGACACATATATTTGTACCTTCCTATCGTTTACTTTACTTATTAAACACAAAGTAGGGATGACCGTGGTCCTGAATTTTCGATTTTTGTCGGTGATTTAGGTCCAGAAGTGACTGAATGGATGCTTGTGGTAGGTTTTTTCAGATATGTCTTTTATTGTTCAGGTAGCAACTTTCTTTTTCTTAGAACCATTGTTATAATGATTGATAATCTGTATGTAGTCTGTTTTTCAGCAAAGGTATCCAACTTGCAAATCTGCTAAAATAATGACTGATCCAATGACAGGCATGTCTCGTGGTAAGCACAATACTTTACCTGGTCCGCAAATGGAGCACACACTAATGATATTTATATAATTATAGGTTATGGTTTTGTTCGTTTCGCTGATGAAGCCGAGCAACAACGTGCTCTTCTCGAGATGCAGGGCTCTTTTTGTGGAAATCGTCCAATGAGAATTTCTACTGCAACACCGAAAAATAAAAGCGGCTTACCAGGCACATTTTACCAGCAGCCATCTCAACAAGCACCAATTCTAAATCAATATAATGATCCAAATAACACCACTGTTTTCGTTGGTGGACTATCAGGAGTGAACAGTGAAGAAGAGCTCAGAAGGTTTGTTACAAATATAATTTAGGTGTGTTTTGATATACAATCTGAGCCAAATATATTGACTTTTATATTTATATATATATATATATATAAAAGCTATTTTCAAGGATTTGGAGAAATCACTTATGTTAAAATACCACCTGGAAAAGGGTGTGGATTTGTACAGTTTGTACATAGACAAAGCGCAGAAATGGCAATTAATCAAATGCAGCATTATCCTATTGGTATATTGTTAAATTGAAATTAATTCTAAGATTTTGTCTCATGCATAATTCTGATAACATTAACATTTAATAGGTAATTCGAGAGTTCGATTATCATGGGGCAGATCGCAGAATGATAAAACCGTTATTGGCACTTATCGGTAACTTCTTAATTTCTTTGAAAAATTTTTTAGAACAAATTGCTTACTTCCATTTCTTTACAGACCGCAACAAACAAGTCCCTACAATTCTCTTGGTGGTATGACATCAACCAATTCTTACAGTGCTTATACACCAACTACCCCAGTAATCAACACACCCGTGACTCCAACTCAACCTCAAATCCTACAGTCTATGGCAGATCCTTTGGAGCCGGTGCCAGTGCAACGTATGAATGAAATTTTCATTACTAGCAAAGAGGCATTGCTTGAAAGAATGGAAACAGAGGGTAACAGTTGGAGGGGAATATATGCACAATAATAGTGATCCTAGTCAATAATGAAAAAATCATTTGAAGCTAATTTTCTGCTTAGCAGGTCGATTTTTTTAGAATTGGCTGATCGATTTCTTATAATGATAATAATCCACACTTTTGATCATTACAAGTCGGTTTTTTTTTTTTTTTTTTGTATATATATTGAGTTAGTCAGTCATACTTTCTTGGTTAATATCAAATATACATAATATCATTTAGAGTTATAGTGCATAAGCGATGTACTCAAATAATGAATTTAGATTATTGAAAAAAGTGATATAATACTTTAATTAGAATTTAGATTTTAATTAGCGCTATAAACATGAACCTTAATACGGTGATTGACAGAAATCGGGAACTCTAGAAATTTTTTTAATAAATGAAGCTCAAGACTAGCTTCGCACTGCGATAAAGCCATTTCCACAAAATTTAAAATAATTGAGGTACGACGTGAAGCGGGCCTACGAGGGATTCTCATGATCTTGTGATCGAAGTTCCAACAAGAAATATTTTTGATATGAGACGGTGGTCATTTGATCGTGTGTGACCCTTTTTTTCTTTATTTTTTTCCTTTATATTTTTTTTTTTTAGAATTTTACGGCTGATCTGGCATCATACAGGCTTTGTCAATCGATCAAGACATTGCTATATTGATATTTAGGGCGAGTTAGAAATTATCGAAGCTGGACCGTCATTAAGCAACTATATAGCAAACAATGCTAGGGCGAGCATAGCGGATTTTAATTGTGGTTGGCTAACAGTTTAAAAATAAAATTTATATATTTTGTACGTAATAAAAATTTATTAATTTATGGGTACTAATTTGGTTTAAAATTCGTGTAACATATAAGGAACTATGATATTATACGTATGACCATATGGTCATTCATGTATGATCTATGACATTACGTATGATGATATGATCTATATGATCTATATGATCAGTCATAGATTATGCATATCTATGACTTTTATTATAATAATAAATATGTATACGTATAACCTTTTTTTCAAGTTTATTACTCTTATTAATTAATTAGTGTGTTTATAAATATGCTACGTTGGGGGGTGCGTTCAACTATGTAAATCAAAACTATGTATAGATGTATATCAAATTTTATATATGAATTTTTTT